CTCTATACTCTAAGTTCAATTTTTAGATGAAGGAACAATAAGAAGTCGCTTGGGGTTAGACCTGGTGAGTAAGGCGGATGGTCAGGCAGTTCAAACCATAAGTCGTGGCTTTTCCCCATGGCAACCGCTGAGGATGAGACGGCGCGTTGTCATGGTGAAACAGGATTTTCTTTTTCTGTAAATGTGGCCGATTTTCGCAATTTCTGCCTTCAGTTTGTCAATTAATAATGCGTAGTATGCTCCTGTAATGATTTTTCTTTTAGAAGTTAATCCATTAAGATAACTCCATGACCATCCCAAAAAAAAACAGTCGCCAACACTTTCCCAGCCGAAAAACCAATTTTTGCTTTTTTTGGAGCCTGTTTCCTCTTTGCAGTTCACTGTTTTGACTATATTTTTGTTTCGGGCGTATAATGGTTTATCCAAGTTTTATCTACAGTAATTAATTGGCGCTAAAACTAGGATTTATTTTGCCTAAACTGCGCCAACAGAGCGTTGGAAATGTTTATTCGGACACGTTTTTGGTCTAACGTGAGTAACCGTTGATTTTATATGTGACAAACACATTCTTTGGACATTTTTATAGCCTCTGCTATCTCTTTCACTCTAATTCGGCGGTCTCTACTTCAGTCGTCTAGCCCCATTTGGTGAACTTTAGCGATATTATCGTCAGTAGTTGCAGTTTTTGGACGTCCAGTACGGTCATCGTCTCCCAAGCTCTCACAGCCACGTTTAAATTTAGCTGCCCCAAATTTTACTATGGTAAATGATGGTGTACACATTCACAGAGTCCAACTCATGTTTAATTTGCGTACGCGTATTGCCTTTCAAAAACAAAAAATAATGATAGCTCGATACTCAGTTTTTTCAATTTTCACAAAAACACTCACATCGATTCACTCAAACGACTGTCAAATAACAACTACCGCTACCCATCCAAAATGGCAGAAATTTTGGTGCGCAACAGTAAAATGATGCATAACTACATTCACTAGCTTTTATTGACGAGTGCTGCATCTTCACGTTGAGGTCGGAAACTTTTCAGACCACCCTGGTATATCTTGCATATCTGTACATCTATACATATGTATATCTAAAATTGAATTGTCTGTCTCTAATATCACAATAATTGTCTTATTTGAATGCCATTAACACATGAACCTGTCTGTCTTTCTGTCTGTTCAGACTGATCTTCGGAATGGCCGAACCGATTTTAATGAAAATTCACGAACAGATACAGGGCAATGTTGTTTTTATATAGGATATATTTGATTCGTTAATCTTAAAAAAAAGGATAGTGATACGAAAGGTAAACGCCACTAGAATTACAAAACACGTACGGTAAATCAAAACTGTTTAAAAGTAAACTTAAATCATATTTGATAAATCAACCATACTTATTGTAGTAGGTACTTCATACTAGATTATTGTGATTTAATATGAATACATCCTTGTTTCGATAAGACGACTCTCCAGCGTTGATAGGCCCCTAGAGGTTTATATGCTAGGATTGTACTGGATAATGTAACATAATTATGCTTAATAAATTTAAAAGAAAATCATCTTAAATCGCACACAATCTTAAATCAAAAACCATCTAAGTTACCCTCAAGTTGTCCCTAAAAAAATATCACTTTTAAATATTTTTAATATGTATTAATTTTATCTTATAAGCGTCAGAATGTAAGAAGTGGTCTCTGTTTGTTAGATTAATGATAATTTTAAAGATTGCTTACAGTCACGGTGGCAATTTTTGAGTACTGTCGGATATCAACTGCGTAGATATAGAAGTAGTTCCGAAAGTGTAGGCATAAGTAGAAAAATGATATTGCCGTAATATATATAATACGTAAACAAGGAATGACATTATAATGTTAACTCAGTGATAGGTAATATCTTTGTATCTATAATTTAAACAAACGAATAAAACGTAAGACTTACAAAGCTAATATTAGTATGCATGATTTTACTTTTTATGCACTTTAACTAAGGATGTATTCACATTAAAATTTTTATTTTGTAAAATCATATCTAGCATAAATAGGATAAAGAAAGAAATTATTTATATCTGTGTTTCAAATGAATAGAACTATTAATTTTGTCTTCATTCAATACACAGATTTTATATACTCATATTATTAGATATTAGCACAGTATTGGCACGGTCGTCCATCAGCGCCGGTTGTCCCATGGCACTTCCTCCTCAGGGGAGAACTACTCCACCCCTTTTCCGGACGCACCAGCTTTCTTGACCCCAGCGGTGTATCTGGTGTCCACTGCAACCAAGTTTCAACAGTGGAGGATAAGGCGAGTGGTGCATTGTCATACCAACAATCCTCTTCCCCCGCGACTCCACCTCTTCTTCAGCAGTAAGGGGAAGGATAACCCTCTCGCCACAGCTCACCAACATACATTCGAGGTGGGCTTGCTAAGCCCGCTCGGACTGCCCACCTCGAACCAGTCCTACACCTCAGGCCAGCGTTTTGGATTCCTCTTCGTTCTCAATGGGTAACCAAGCCACTGCTACTAAGCCCTCACAAGGCGGGAACCCATAAGGAGTCGGAAGTGTAAGCCCTACCCTAAATAGCGAAATAATACATTTGTGTTTTTTTTTATAAGCAGGAATCCAAAATCACTAATCCCAAGGTATACGAGTCTAGGATAGGCTAGGCTACCCGTTATGCTGCAGGGCTATCGTGTTGGAAGTGCCAACTACACAGACGTGATTGGTTATAATTATTTTATTTTAATTTTAAGTTGAGAAAGAAAAATATTGCGTGTACCAAGCAGAAGTCTGACTAATTGTTTGATCCCAGAATCACTGAATACCAGCATAAAATAGCAGCTTAACGCTGCTGTGTTTCGTATGGTGAGTGCAGAAAAACCGGAGACCCTTTTACTGGAAATGAGGCATTCCATCCTAGTCCTCACGGGTGACCATGTATCTGCATTATGATTGGTAATCGAGGATAGATGTAGATGTCTATAGGCCGCAGCAACCACTTACCATCAGGTGGACTGTGGGCTCGTTTGTCACCCTTATCTTATAAAAAAAAAATCTCTTATTCTGCCTACAAGTCCGTCGGGATAGGTAACACACACCCTTTTACCTATTTATGTTGCCAATAGCAACGCTTGCATTACTGTGTTTCGGTTAAAATAGTATAGAGATTCAGTATAATTAGAGTGAGGCATTTCGTCTTAGTCCTCAGGGGTGACAACGCTTCTGTAGCTTTCTTTGTATGAAGTTGGCTGCAGATGTCCATAGCCTGCAGTGGCCACTTACCATCAGACAGCCTGTAAGTTCGAGTGTCACTTTAGTTTTATAGAAAAATAGAGATACCTCCTACGAATCCACGCAACGTTTTAGCAAATAAATCTGCGATCATTGTATTCTTAACCGATGTTAGTTCATCATCATCATCACTACAGCCTTTCATAAGTCCACTGCTGAACATAGGCCTCCCCCAAGGAATGCCACAAAGCACGGTCCTGAGCCACCTGCATCCATCGACTTCCTGCATGTCTTACCAGGTCGTCACTCCATCTCGTGGAGGGTTGCCCTAAACTTCGCCTACCGGTACGAGGCTGCCACTCAAGAACCTTTCTTCCCCATCGTTTGTCAGTTCTTCGAGCTATATGGCCGGCCGACTGCCACTTCAGCTTACTAATCCGTTGGGCTATGTCGGTTACTCTGGTTCTACTGTGGATATCCTCATTTCTAAGTTTTTCACGCAGAGAAACCCCGAGCATAGCCCTCTCCATAGCTCGCTGAGCGACCTTGAGCTTCCTCATACGGCCAGCAGTGAAGGATCTCGTCTCGTCTTAGATCTGTAAGTCATAACCGGCAACACGCACTGGTTGTACAATTTCGTTTTAAGGTTTTGAGGTATGTTTTTCGTTTTAAGGTGGCGATGTTAGTTGTTTAACCACAATTATTGCTATCTCATATTCAATCACCTTTAGTTTTGATTTAGCTTATTGGGAACATCGAAGAGATATATCCACGTTCTGTCCCCTTTGACGACTAAACTAACATCTTTTGAACGCCCTGTTTTTCTTTTACCCGCACGATTTACTGTCTTTCATTAAGAGAGTGAAGGATCTACAGAGTACTTTTTTTTACTGATAAATCTTCATGCAAAATTGAATTTAATCTTGATGTAGCAATACTCAAAATGTCTGCGTAATTTTCCGTGTCATTTTTAATATGAAAATGTTGTTTAAAATTGTAATAAAATATCACATAGTAAAATCACGGTGACTGGGACAATACATTTTTGACAATTTATTTTATATTGCAAAGAAAACACGAGTGCAGAAATAAATGGTGGACATATATTGTCTGGGCAGTTATTTACGCACTCAATTCAACACGCTAGCTTACTAGTTTCTATGTATTTCAAGACTTATGGAGCAGCCTTCGTATCGTAATTTACACTACTTTTTTCTTCTCGTATTACATCGGCTCTTTGTATATAAAGTTCTAATGACAAAAGGTAAAAATTTAGGTATTTTTTTTTTACCCATTTCTGATCAAAATAATGTTAAAAAGGAGTGTTCTAAACATACGAACACAATAGTGGAAATTTTTTTGTAATATTCTAAGACTTTTTTTGCTTTTAAACGTTGGAGTAAGCTTTCGTTTCATTTAATTTCAGATCCCGATTGTCAAATGTTTTCAAATTGTCAATGAAAATTTGTAAAATAGTCTTGTTTGAATTATTTTTCATTATCACCATATTTTTATTTTTTATCGCCCCGGGAATTTATAAGGAGAACATCGGTCGGCTTTGTGATGTTTATTATTTTTATAAAAATATTCTTCTATTATCGCGTTGTTATATAAAAGGTAAAAGCGGTGAGTGTGGAATAGACCTAATAATATTGTAGTCTATATAAGTCATCGCGCTCAAGGCATAATTTTATATTTTAAAACTTAATTTTTTCCAGTAGCGTTGTAAGATTTTGGTACAATTACAAAAGTTGTTGCTAATAAAATGCATTGTAAAGACAAATGTTGCGAATTCAGCATACAAAAAATAGTGTGTTCGAACAGAGAAAAATTACCAGTTAACTTACAAAAAGCTTTAAATAAAATTGCGCAAGGAGAAGGTTACTTATACCACGAAATATTCAATAGAACTATTTCTACAGAGGGTGGAAACTATATGGCCGTACTGTACGAAGTTGATATTAAAGGAAAAACATCTGAAGGAGAAAAAGAAACGAATATTTTCATTAAATATATTATATCGAATGAACATATGAACATATTTGATATTTCGGAACTATATTTTAAGGAGTTATTTTTCTATAGAGAACTGAGTGAAATTTATACAGAACTTCAAATCGAAGCAGGGGTGCCTTTAGATGAAAGGTACAAAGTTGTCAAATCTTACAGTGAAAGTAGCACGGAAGCCATAATACTGCAAAATGTTGCAAAAGAAGGCTTTGCTACATTTTATAGAATGGATGTAATGCCTTTGAAGTTTGCTGAATTGGCTGTGCAACAACTGGCCATGTTCCATGGTCTGAGTTTTGTCACACAACAAAAAAGGCCTGAGTATTTTGAAAGGAAAATCAAAACACTCAAACAATGCTTACAATTTAACGACAGTTTTAAAGCTTTTTCTAGAAGAATGTTCAACTACTCAGTTGAAGGTTTGGATACAGAATTAAGGAAAAAATTAGAACAAGCACTACCCGAATTATTAGAAAATTACATAAAGTACTTAAATGGCGATAAAACGAAAGTAAAGTGTTTATGTCATGGTGATTACAGAATCAACAATATATTAATGAAATTAACGGTAATTATATTTATCATCGTATTTACATACGTACTTTTATCATATTTAACGTATTATTATAAATCGGATGTGAATTTTTTTTAAACCAAGGCCATGTGCGACGTTCATTTATTGATTTTATATAAACTGTATTCAGCTAACGACAACTAACAAATAACTTTTAGTTAGGAATATTTTTATAATCTTTTTACCATAAGGAAGTTGCCATTTATTTCCTTTCTCCCGTTTTAGTAATTTTATGGACCGAAAAGTAGATCATTGTTGTTAGCCAGCTTACTTATAGTTATAGTATAATTTATAAACTTTTTTTGTTTGTTTCTTTTTTAAGGAATGAAGGTGACAAATGAGCACACAGTCTACCTGATGATAAGTTAATACTGGCATGGGCCATCTACATTTATCCTCGATTAAGATTCAAAATGCAGATGCGTTGTCACTCTTGAGGTCTAAAGTACAATGTCTCGTATCCGATAAATGGGGTCTCCGATTTTCAACATTCACCATACATACACATCAGCATTAAGCAGCGTTTTTACGCTGATATTCTGTGGGAGCGTGGTTCTTTCCCGGTCGAGCTGGCCCATTCGTGCTACAACTAAAATACAGCTGAACCATTTATAAAAAATATGATCGCATTTCCTGTTTTTATTTTTTATTTATTCAATAAGTACACTTACAATAAACATATTATATGACATTATCACTAAAACATAAATTTACGCACCCTGTTTTGCATATCGTTTTCAAGTGTACATAATATTCTCATAGTAGTAGTAGTGTTCGCAGTACTCACTGCGAAATTAGTTTTGAATAAATTTCATATTTATAATATGTATGCATATTGTGAAGACTAGATTTATTCTATATTAGTCTTTTGAACGCTGCTGGATTTTGATAAATATTAAAAATCTTACATTACGCTTGCCTTTTTATAAATTTGCAAATAATTATTTTAAATACAAATTAAGTAATCAAGAATTCTAATTCAGCAAGATACAACCTTTTTGGATGGAAACCTATTTGTTTAAGGTAAAAGCTGCCCTATATTTATTTTACAGGAAGGTGATGTAACTGAAGTAATACCTGTGGACTATCAACTTTTATACTACGGATCTCCAATAACGGATTTTATATATTTTATTTTTGGAGCCACTGATAAAGAATTTCGTAGGAATCATTTAAAACACTTGAAAGATATGTATTTCGAAACAATGCACAACTTCGTTAAAAATTTTGAAATCGACATAGATTCAGTTTATCCAAGAAAAGAGTTTGAAAGGGACTACGTTGAATGCTTCGATTATGGTCTGCAAGTTGTGCTATTTATAAAACCTCTTGTCTTTGCACTCGAGAGTGATGTACCTGATTTTAGTAAAAGTGAAATTGCTGACATAAAAGTAAAACTTGATCATAGATACTATGACAGATTACAAGGAGTTGTCGATGATATGATTCAATATGGTAAATTATAATCCAACACTTCAGATAAAATATATGTGAATTTTTGTATATTATATAAATTAAAGTACTTAAATCTAAAAACCTGTTCTTTATTCTCCTTCTTCTCTACTGTAATCAGACTAGTTGAAATTTGATGCTGAAATTGATTATAATAATAATTATAATAAAAAAGTGAGCGGTCAGCCACCGCAGAGTCTAGATCACCTGAAGGTGCTTCGTGTAGAGGCGAAACACGTGTCGTATTGTCGTCGGTGGTGTGTCTTTCCTAGTGTAGTGGAGTTGGGAGTAGTGGTTCTGGAATTAGTGGTGGATGCTGCTGCCCATCTCCTGTTCTAGTTTCCTTATGTTGCCTATTACCACATCCATGGAACGGTTTTGGGTAGTGGATATTCTATCAATACCACTACACGGTTATTTTTTATTATTATTGAGTAGTTACCAATTAAATGCTGCAAATTCTTTTAAACATTCCTTTTCATGTTCTCTCGAAAATTTTGATGGTATGGGATAGTGGATTCTTTTACTTCAGTACGCACTAAGTAAATATGTTAGAAAGCACTCAATTTTTCTAATTAACCCTTGTAAAATGTACGCGTATGTGATCGCTCTCTAGGTAGGTACATATTATGAGGTGTAGAGACAACAGAATAGATCAGAATAGAACAGAGAGGTAGGTATGAAGGTAGTATCGAGACAGCAATTCGAACAAGAGCACTTGAAATTTATCAATTCATGCCTTGGAAAAATTTTGGTTCTGGCTAATCATGGTTTCCACTAGTACAACAAATTAATTCAAACCTAATAAAAAGGGGGAGTGGTTGCTTTATGTTTGTTAAGCACGAGCACCTAATTGCGATTCCCGTTAGCAACAAAAGTTGTTAACTGTTATGTCTGTTGTTTTACAACGTGCTCGTGGTGAAAAATTGATGTCTTAGAGATTATAATATATATTATTTCAAAAATATGCGAAGACCGTGCATTACGAATTTCAGAAATAAACATGGACCAAAAGTAGATATATAGGCTATTTATACCTAATTAATATTTATTTTTAAAAGGGTTAAAATACAAGGACTCTTTTTCTGATTATATTCGATGCGTACGTTTACTTATTTCTTGGAAGCGGGTAAATTAATTAGCTACTTTTAGTAATAAATAGGTAATACTTCAAGTGTGCTCCCATAAAAAGTTTAAAGATAAAATTTTATACCTAAATTTACCTAAGGGAAGAAAAATAAAGGGTAAAAGTTATAATGTTACTATTTTGACGACATTCTAGTTATTACTTTGAACTTATGATACTTGGGACTTTAATTCTTTGATACTTTGCTTTAGTATCGACTACAGAGGATATGAATACGTGGAAATTATTTTTTATTAGTTGTGTGAAGACGGTTTTTATCATTTTTTCGAATCAGTGGTAAAGTAAAAAAATTACTTTCAATAACACACACACGTGAACTATATTGAATAAAAATATTATATTCGATTATATTATATTCTCTTCTAATCTATTCCATTCTATTCCATTCCATTCAATTCCATTCCATTTTATTCCATTCTTTCCATTCTATTCCGTTTTATTCCATTCTATTACATTTTATTAAATTCTGTTCCATTCTGTTCCATTCTATTCCATTCTATTCCATTCTATTCTATTAATATATTTTTTAAATAAGACAAAACTTATAAATAAATGGTGTGTTGTATTTTATAATTCCCAATACTTATTTGTCTGGAAAAGTGTTAAAGCAGCATACATCCGTACAAATGTTTCAGATTTCTCATCATTATGTTACAATGTCAGTCTTAGCTGTTTGAAGTACAAATATAAACGGCTATAAATAATAAGTACATAAAACCCAAAAGACTACACTCGTCAAATGTTATCTCAATGCGGGCTCATAATCTCCCGCTTAACAGATGCGACTAGTTGACACTGAAGGTGAAGTTTTGTTATATAATATCATTTAATTGAGAAGTTAGTGTTAATAAAGTTTATCAGTTTTCCCACAAAACAGTGCCTCAGCGGTTTGCTCTTTAATTTTTGGCACATGTTTACTTTTTTTTAATTTTTTTAATTTTTTAATCTAATTAATATAAAATATAACTAATAGTACAAAAAGAAACATTAACCTTTACATTTTTCTAACAAATTTACTTCCTCGCTATGAAATCTGTCAAATGTTACACCTCTTTTTTACGTGGCGCTGCCCTGGTGGCAAAAAATGTCTGGGATGCCCTTATTGTTTAAAAATCTTTATAAGAGAACAGCCATATAGAACGAAATAGGGATGGATTGTATGACAGCGGAATACTAAAGAGCAAGCGTTACATGCGCATACAAATTCCGAAATATCAAATGAATTACGTGCTCCTTTCGAATTTAGAACGTCGCGTCACAAGCTCCGCTTTCGTTCATTAAAAATGCATACAGCTTTTGTTTCATTTCTACTACGAGTACGGGACCAAATATGTACACCCAAGCTGTGCCAAGTGGATTTACTAGAATCTTTTACGTGTCAAATATTTCTTTTAAATTTTCACTTTTGTTTCTTCAGCAGTATATACATAAAGATTTATTAATTTAAGGGATTTAATGAAAATAATTTATTAATTGTAACTGTCCCAAATTAGTCTGGGACTTATACGTATCTTTATAGTGGGAATTATCAAAACATATAAATAAAATTGAAATATCTATCTGTAATATTGAAATAACTATCTTCTCTCAAGCGTAGGTGGTTATTTGCGTGCTGTTATAACGTAAATAACGATTTTTTTAAATTTTTGTCTGTTTGACTGCCTAACCGAGCTAAATTTCTGAATAGCCGATCCGACTACGAAGACATTTTAAAAACAGATAGAGAGCAATGCCTGTAGGAATCTATCTAATCCGAAAAACTAGGACTTTAAAAAAAAACGAGAAATTGATAAAATAAGCAGACTTTGCTTGACTTAAATAAAAATACCGCCACATTTTTAGATCCAATCACGGGTCACTAGTAATGAAAAAGAATGTGCCAACTGTGTTACTTGCTTAGCGTGTCACAAAAGGCAGACAGAACATTGGGTTTGTAATCGAGTAGACGATTGGCTTGCTACCTATCACTTCTTTAAAAAACATTTCTAACTATACCCATTATTTTAGCTATAGGTGGTGCGAGTAACTCTCTGCTCTTCGAACTCTTTTTTTTAATAACTGGCTTTATGGCTCTGGGTTCTAGCTCTTCTGAGACTGAAGTTACAATGTATAATTATCCTTCATAGTACATTATCCTGCGCAAATGGGTAGTCGCCATTATGACAGACCGCCTTGACCTTAATTCGGTCTGGAGGACACTATATATTATAAATAATTTATAATCAAAATTTCCATTTTAAATAATTGTATAATATTATAGAGCTACCCCAATTTTAACTTACAAAGACATATTGTAAGCCGACCGCCACTGTTAACTTTGTTGATTCTGTTTAATTTCGTATTCTAGATCTTAATAAATTCAAAACTGTCTAATAGATCTTAATAAAGTCCAAATTGTTTAACGTAATATTAGTTATTTAGTGAGCCCAGTATCTAGCATCAATTGAGTACTGACTGGTGCGCGTTTGTGTAACATCATTATAATTTTATTTTTCGCCTTTTTTAAGCCTATTCACTCTTTTTTTATAGAATAAGGGTGATAAACGAGCACACAGTGCATCTGATGGTAAGTGGGAGCTGTGGTCCATAGAAATCTATCTACATTTATCCTCGATTAAGAATGGAATGCCTCGTTTCCAGTAAAAAGGGTCTCCGATTCTCTAAACTCACCATACGAAATACAGCAGTATTAAACTGTTATTTTACGCTAGTATTCTGTAAGAGCGTGGTCCTATGCCGATTGAGCCGACCCATTCGTGTTGTACTGTTTCCTTGAAGATCATAAACAATCTAGATGCGTTCGGATGGAAAGACAGACGCCAGTAATTATTGAACGCCTTTACTGTATGTAATACAAAATACAAACTGTTTGGTTAGAAATTAATTAAAAATAGTAAAAAGTAAAGTATAATTCTACATAATGTTTTGCAATGTAGGTCTCTTCATTCTTAGCTAGGGTTTTTTGAAGCAAGGAAGAGCCTGCCGTGCTGCACCAATGTAATTTGTTGCACTTCATATTTTATATAAATAGTTTGTCACGCATGCAGGTTTTCTACACGGTGTTTTTTCCTTAACCCACGAGCAATCAACAATTTTATTTATATATCGCCATGTTTTGGCGGTGAAAGAGAATCCACTTCAGCGAATCATCCCGTGCGCGACAACAGGCAATAGAAGGAAATTAAACAAAAGACTGGTAGAAACATCTTCCTGCTAAGAGCTGAGAACAATTGGTTTTTGAAATATTTTGTATTTCTACGGCGATCGATATTTTTAGCACGAGCCGTGATAACAAACGACCACTCCCGACGGTATTCGAGCCCGTAGTAAATAAAGTAAGCTCATACATACACGCTAAATCCCAAAACAAAAATTTAGTCTTAAAATCTTTAAAAAAATATTTCTTAATAACCAATCACAGCGCGAGGAGCTTAGGCCTCCATCCGCTGCCGGCATGCTCCGATAAGCTATCTTTCTCGCACTTATGGCCACGCATAAGACTTTTATGTCGTATTAGTTGGTAAACTTTATTCACGTCTGGGAATTGTTTACAACCGCTAAATTCGTCTGGCGATTTACAGGTGTTATTAAAAATTACTCAATAAATACGTGATTCAAATTTGAGATTGCCAAAAGTATATTTTTTTGGAAATAAAAAAAAATATTTTTGGAGAGGTCTGGTAATACTTTATAACCGACAAAAACGTCTGGGATTATTTTTTTGAGTTATATAAAAGCTAAATTAAAAGATAAAAAAGAAATCAAGTTGGCAAAAAATTTTTTTGGGATTTTTTTTTTTGGCAAATGTTATATACTGCGCAGTAACAAAATAACCGCAAACGCTCAGCCAGACTCGCGGGACTGGAT